GTTGATAAGATTTCAGTTGCTATAAAAATTGGTTCAAGTAATTGAAGCATGTTATTAACTACTAGCCAGTCATCATCTTGTAAGTATAAAGAAGAAAGGTCTCTATTTTTAACAACAAAAATATCTAATATGTCTCGCATTTGAAGAAAATTTTTTAGCATCATATAGGTACTGTTCCACCTTGTTTCTACATCCAAATCAGGTTTTAATTCAGCCACATTTTCTTGATTGTAAAGAATCACTAAGCTTTGTTGAATTTCTAATTTTTATTACAAAATCACTGACTTTTTTTATAACTGGAGATGCTAACTGCAACCCATGTTGTATGGCAATGTTAAGTATATGCGCGGCACATCATTGATGAACTAATTCGTAATTATTTAAACTTTGTTTAAGTTCTCATTCAGCAGTTATCATTAATTGTGCATTGTCCGTTGTAATACCTAACAACTTATTAGTAATTTTAGCATTATCTAATACTTGCATAATAGCTTGTTGAATGTTTATAGCAGTTGTTGCCCAGTAAGAGGAAGAAGATCAAGTAAAAAATATCGTAGTTGCCATTCACTATTAATAAAATGAACTGTAACGTCAAGATACGATTGCATTGTAATAGAACTCCAAATATCACATGTGATTGATACTTTTTTAGGCTTTTCAAGTTCTTCTAAAATTATTTTGTGCATACTATTATATTTATTTAAAATTTCAGCTCGTATAGTTTGTCAGCAAGGTATTAAATACCGAGTATCCAATATATTTAACATAGTAATAAAGTAAGAATTATCAACAATAGAAAAAGGAAGCTGACAACAAACTATAAATTCTACAATTTTATCTGTAAGTTGTATATATTTTTGATCTGTTCTTGAATATGGTTTACCTACAAATTTATCAAGAGTACTTTGTCAATTACCAACCAGATTATTATATTTGTTATATAAATGTTTAGCAAGAGTTCTTGGTGTATTGGTTGGCTTATATTTAAGGCGGCATATAGTACAAATAAATGATTTAAGTTCATTTTTAGTGTTATATTCTTTTGAAAAATGTTCCCAAACCCAAGAAGCCTCTCGTAAATTAAGTGAAACTGTGTTAAGTTCAGTTTCTTTACTAGTATTTGTTAATTCATTAGTTTGTTCGGTTATTACACTTTTTGCTAAATCAGCATCATCAGTTTCAAAACTATCAGTTCGCAAATTATC